TTTTTTTTTTTTGGTAGTTATATTCAAATTCTACACAGTAGAAGAATATAGTTTTCACTTCAATGGCTTTTAAACTTGCTTATTAATCTTACCTTTTTGTTTTGTTTGCTATTAAAATCAATTTAAAAAAAAAATCATCACCCAAGGATATTCTCCCCCCCTTCTTTTTTCTGACAGAGTTGGGGGGGGTGGTGGACATTGATCTGAGAGGGACACATTCACTGGCTGCCTCCCGCACGACCTTGACCAGGGCCGGGAACCGAACCGTGACTGAGGTACGTGCCCTTGACCAGAATCAAACCCGAGACTCTTTGATCTTCGGGCTGATACTCTAACCACTGATCCAAACCAGCCAGGGCTATTAAAATCAACTCTTTGATGAAGCCTTGGAAATACTTTGCTCTGCATGTATTCATGATGCCAAGCTAGCTAAGGAGAGTGAAAAAACACTTAAAGCAATAGAAACGGCTGATATGTTTTTAATGAAAGCACACAAGGAAAACGTGGACCAGCAAGACAGGGTTCTTCTTCACTGAGGTCAGTTATGCATAAAGATCAACTTGGTCTTGCCCATGTGCTTAGTGACTGGCAGTATTGGAGATTTATTTCTTTGGTCTCCATGTAGATCTGTCTTGTTAGATTCTTTCTCACTGTCCATCCATTCACTCACACAGGTCCTTCAGTGCTGTCCCAGGTGCTAAGGAACAAATTCTGATCGTCTGTTGCTGTATTCCAGGGTAGAAGTTTGTCTTCATCCAGGTGGTGTTTTCTTTTTCTTTCTTTCTTTTTTCTTTTTTGTTAACTCTCACCTGAGGATATTTTTCTATTAGTTTTTATTATTATTATTTTGTAATGTGGAAAAAAGGACCATATTGGCAATTTATTTCTTTTTAAAATCCTCACCCAAGGATATTTTCCACTTATCATCAGATAGAGTGGGAGGGAGGGAGAGAGACACATCAATTGGCTGCCTCCCACACTACCCTGACCAGGGCCAGGGACCTGAGGTATGCGTGCCCTTGGCTGGAATCGAACCTGTGACTCTTTGGTCCACAGGCTAACGCTCTAACCGCTGAGCCAAACTGGCCAGGGTTCTATTAATGTTTAGATAGAGTGGGAGAGAGGGAGAGAGGAATGGAGAGAGGAAGAGAGAGAGAAAGAGAGAGAGAGAGAAAAACACTAATGTGAGAGAGAGAGACATCGATTGGCTGCCTCCCACACCGCCCTGGTCAGGGATCAAACCACGACCCCAACCAGGGCTGGAGATGAACCACAACCAAAGTACATGCCCTTGACTGGAATCGAATCTGTGACTCTTTGGTCCACGAGCTGATGCTCCAATCACTGAGCAAAAACAACCAGGGTGGCCAAGGTGATTTCTTTCTTTCTTTTTCATTTTTAATCGTCACCCAAGGACATTTTTCCATTTTTTGTTCAGATAGAGTGGAAGTGAGAGAGAGTGAGAGAGAGACAGAAACATTGATGTGAAAGGGACACATCAAGTGGTTGCCACCTGCACGACCAACCAGTGCCAGGGACAAATTGCAACCAAGGTACACGCCCTTAGTGGGAACCGAACCTGGGTCTCTCTGAACCAGAGGCCAACGCTCTAACCACTGAGCCAAACCGGCCAGGGCGACCAAGGTGATTTTTAAAGTTAGGGACCCACCTTTCCAAAGACATGTGAACTTGAGAGAATGTCAGAAACCCTGTGAAGAAACTTAAATGTATTATTTGATCTTTTAAAAAGAATAAGGCATCCTTCCTCTTCCTGAACATTCAGTCCAGAAGCCTGTAGTGAGGCCGAGTAAGGGTGTGCCCACGCTGATGGGGAGTAGAGTTGCAGTGGCCCGGAGCAGGGTGTCGAAGTCCATGTAAGGGTAAAGAAGGGGGTCATCTGGGAAGGAGGCCTGGCATGGGGTGCTGGAGCACAGGTCGGGTAAGGAGGATGTCCACATGGGAATGGGAAAGGGGGTGGGTGGTGGCAGTTACACACAGGGGGAGTGATTGAATAAGTACATATAAGATAATGAAAGTTAGTTTTCTCTCTATCAGAGAAAAGTTATAAGGTTGAAAAGGGAGAAAACTAGAAATGATTCTTTAGTGTTGGACTGCACTGAGGTATAAGTGTATGTAAACACATATACGTACATAGCTGTATAGTTCCTAGCTCTGCTCACTGAGAGGCCTAGGAACAGTGACACTCCCAGAGCAATGAGCAGACGGCTCTCTCTCATTCCTCGGTTGCTAAATACTGTTCTTCACTGGACGATATCAGAGCTCTTTGGAGAAATGGCTGATTCCAGGGTTGGGGCAGGGAAAGTGCAAAATAATTCCTGTGCTAGAAAGTAAAGAGGTACTCAGAAAATGATGGGCACATGTCTACAAGACACAGAAGCCATCCTGAAGGGCCACTCAGTGGCCAAATCTGGGACAAATGTGAGCATCAAATTAATGACAACAACAGATTATAACCAATGAATAAAATAGGAAACCATGAATCTTACGGATATAAATAAGTATGTTGAAAATCTGATGGAGAAACAGGATACTTACAATTTCAAAGTACCTCTCACAAAATACTTATTAATTACAAGGACAAAAACACTAACTTGACAGTAGAGAAACCTGGCTGACACCACCCTAGTCAAGGGCTCAGGGAACCCACTGGTAGTGAGATAACTCGGGACTGCACACGGCTGACAGGGTGCAGGTGAAGGCACAGCATCACTTCTGTGATATTCCTGCCAAAGATGCTCAACCTGAATCTAATCCTGAGGAGACATCAGACAAACCCAAACCGAGACACGTGCAACAAAATAACCGGCCTGTAATCTTCGAGTGTCAACATCATGAAAGGCAAGGAAGACTCGGAGGACTTTCAGGTTGAAAGGGACTGAAGAGAGCTGGTAACTAAATGCAGTGCACAGTAAGGTACTGAATTTTTTTGGACATTACTGGACAAATGAAAATCATTTTTTTGTTTGTATGTTTGTTTTAGGAAGAGAGAAATAGAAACATTGATGTGAACGAGAAACTGATCAGGTGCCTCCTGCAAGCCCCCTCCTGGGGATCGAGCCCACAACCCAGACATGTGTCCTGACCGGAAATCGAACTGGGACCTCACAGTCCATGGGACGATGCTCAATCCACTGAGCCACACCAGCTGGGCTGAAGTTTCTTGAGTGAATTCTTACAAATATAACTTTAAGATACACTAGTAATATATATAGCTTCTCACAACAATAAACAATGTTAATGTAATTATTATATGAAAATTTAGAGCTCTTAGGATGATTTCAAATTTTCTACATTATGACTAAATATGGGAAAGAAAATAGTATTTGTAAATGAAAACAAACCCAAAAGATACAAAGCTGGTGGCTGGTGTTCCCTCTCCCTTGCTCCCCTGCAGATCTTCAGCACCTGCAGGCAGGTTCACTGCTCAAACACCCTCTCTCCTAACTGGCTCCCTGCCGCCAGCTCTCCTTCGCCTCTCTGCCTTCACAGGTGGTCAGGTGATCTTCCTCAAGTGTGATGATTGTCACTCCTTTGCTCAGAAGATTATTCACCACAGAAGGGCCAGCTGCTGAGATTTGCAGGATGCCCCACATGTTAAAAAATTTTTTTTCTTCTTTTTTTAAAAAAATTGGCAATTGATTTGAGAGAGAGAAACATCGATTTGTTGTTCCACTTATTTAGGCATTCATTGGTTGATTCTTGCATGTGCCTTGACCAGGGATCGAACCCAAAACCTTGCATATCGGGATGATGCTATAACCAACTGAGTACTCAGCCAGGGCTCTCCCAGATTTCTCCTGACTTTGGCTGGCTACGTCTTACCTATGCACTAGCTACAGAGAACCACTTACTACTCGCTGAAGTGACCCACACTCTGAGATGCAGCTCTTTCGCTCATTTCTTCCCTCTAGCCAGAATTCCCTTCCCTTTCCTTGCGAACCTTCTACCCAACTCTCACAGCTCTACTCCAGTGCCATCTTCCCATAGGATCTTTTATTCCAACTGGTTGCAATCCTCTCTCCTGACACGCTAATGTAATTTCAAGTGTCTCTAAAGGCACTGGTATCCCATCTTACATCAAATGACTTATCCTCTCCACTGCAGGATGTAAACTGTCTCAGGCAGAAGCTGCTTAAGTTCCTGCTCGGTCCCGAAGCAACTGGCACGGCGCCTTACACACTGGAGGCACTCAAGTATGTGCTGAGTCAAACCATACGGAGTTCTCCAAGAAAGTCACTGGGAGGAAAACACTTTTAGTCACAGATATAAAATGAAAGGGCTGCTGATAGCATTGTGAAAAAAAGTCTCAAAACATGCAAAACTTATACCAATGAGAGAAATATTTTACTTTTGTAGGACTAAGACCTATAGGCTTTTGTGAGGTCATGACGTAAAAATAAACACACAAAACCTCTCTCTTTCCAGGTAGATAACAAATGAACTAAAGGAGAGTAACTTTTAAAAAATAAACTTAATCATTTTGCCCAAGTCAAACTATAGAAAGTAAAACAAGAAATGTTAACAAGTCTGTTACAATGAAATCACAAATAGTCCTAATTACATAATTAGCCCCAGAAAAGGACTTTAAAAAATTCCTTCTTTTGTGAATTTACTCCCAAGTAATAGGAAGTCACACTAAAAATCAGTAGCTTTTTCTTAATTACAGGCTCCAAAAGTGAATGAATGAATGAATGAATGAATGAATGCACTTAGTAAGGCCTAATGAACTATGAACCAGTGATTCCAAAATATTTGTGGTTAAGGACTGGTTTTTAAATATTTCCTCTGTTGCAGGTTGACAATCTTATAAAATACAATAAAAATGCTGCAGCAATGTGTAAAGGCTGAAGTGTACTTTTTCTGTACTTGTCATGGACCAATAATAAAGTTTGCAAAAGGGCAGCTGTGTGCTCTGTTTCTCTGAATCTACACACATTCAACACGCTACCAATGCAGGGAAAGGCAGGATATATGCCTACCTTCTGCTCTTGCACCTCAAACACTGCTTCGTGGACACTGCAGGCAAAAAGTGAGGTGGGCAGATCACTTAAGTCCATCATCTCTTCCAAATCATCTTCATTTTCACCAAAAATCATCTCTTCTTCCTCTTCTTGGTCACTGCTACAGAGATCTGTCTGGGTATCATTCCAAGATTTCATAGTGTCCCTCAGCATTATCCCCTAAAAGCAGACTTTGCCGTTTCTGAAGTTCTAAGATGTCTCAGACATCTACTGTTAAAGAAAGAAAACAACAGAGATAAGACTTCGAGGGCCAAATAATGTTCCAAGCAATTCTCAAGACAGCAATTCATCAAAGAAAACAATTTTATTCAATAGAGAAATCAGCATTTAAATAAACTCATCACAATATTCATAAATTCTATACATGCTAATTTGATTTGCTTAGCATGTTTTATGCAATATATGGTTAGTTCATTATCAATGATATAATACAAAAAAAAAAGGCAAAATGTTTTCTAGTGAAGTTGAGGGAAAACAGATAACACAGAATGAGATCACATCAATATGCACACAAGTTTACGAGCCGTAGGAACTGCCTTCACATATTTGTTGTGGGTTTTAGGTCTACAACACTGAAACTGGCACAGCAGAACAAAATCTACACTGATTCACTCACCATCTGCACCCTGAAATGTGTTCTGCGACGAGCTGACTTTACCTTTCTTAACCAATTCAGTTTTTTTTTTGGATACACTCTCAGAGAATTAAGTTACACAGAACCAAAAGTTCTATATAAAGTCAGTCTTTGTTAATATTAGAAATATTTGTAGCTGCAAAATCTGTCATAGACAACAATCAAAAGGCTGTCCTTTTCTGGACGTTTAAAAATCAGTAATTTTGCCCTGGCCAGTTTGGCTCTGCAGTTAGAGTGTCAGCCCGCGGACCAGAGAGTCCCAGCTTCGGTTCCCACTAAGCGCATGTACCTCAGTTATAGTTTGTCCCCAGCCCCAGTTGGGGTTGTGTGGGTGGCAACCAGTCCATGTGTCTCTCTCACGTTGATACTTCTCTCTCTTCCTCCCTTCCTCCCTCCCGCTCTATCTGAAGATGAATGCAAAAATGTCCTCGGGCGAGAATTAAAAAAAAAAGTAATTTTTAACCCCAGAGCACGGAGCTCACAGTGGAAGACAGTCTATCTTATTGGGACTATTACTGTGCATGTCTGTCTCCTGCAATGAACTGCACCCCACACCCACCAGGCAGAGTGCCTTGATCATAACACATTTGAAGATGCCGAAACAAAATTCAAGAAATATCAGGTAGAAAAAAATTAAGTGATCATGATTATTATACCTCAATATTACCCAATTTATTTTCCCTTTTATTTCAAAGAACATAAGGCTGCATATATATTGCTTATATAGAGTATGTTCCAGAATGTTAATTATAGGATAAAAATAGTGGGTTTTTTTGTTGTTGTTCTACTACATCAATCAGGAAAGACTAATTTAAAAAAATAAAATCTTTACTCACTTTTATAAACATTTTCTGAACGTCTATTGCACACAGGGATTACTAGGGACAATGGCAAGTAAGACATGGTTCCTATCCTCAAGGAGATCCTACAAAGCAAGAATTTCTTCTCAGCAATACTAAACATTCCTAAAGGATCTTGCTCCATTAATTGGTTCCTATACTTTCAATTTCTCCTTCTCCATCTGCTCTTTTTCCTCTGCAAACATACCTATTCAAGATTCCCGTTCCCACCCAACCTATGTTGAAGAAAACCCTCCTTTCAGATTCGACCTTCCCCTCAATCTACCCCCCCTTCTTACCAACTTCCTGGAGAGAGTAACGCCTTTGCTGTGTTTACCTTCTCAACTCCAGCCACTCCTGAATTCAGTGTAGCTGGACTTCTGCCACTGCCTTTTGGCTGAATCTGCCCTCGCTGTGGACAGCGATGGTTTCCTCCTAGCCGGAATCTAATTTCAGGCCTCAGTCTGTCTGCAGCACACGAACCCACGGCCCACCCAGTCACTCTGGGGCCTCCCTGTGTTCTTGCCTTCTAGGTCCCTATCCTTCCTGCCTCTCCTTCCTCCCCTTTGTCACTGGCTCCTCTTTCTCCACTCACCATTTACAGCTTGTCTCTTTGAGGTTATCTCCCCATCCTCTTCCTCTTCTTCCTCTTCCTGGGTGGTTTTATCCACGCCCAAGCATTTAACTACTTCACCACCAGTGCTTCTCAGCTTTGTTTCTGCCTTCCTATGATGCACGCACATCTCGTGTGTATCAATACTGTCTCTTGTTTCTTACAATGATTGGCAAGCCAGGAAGGATGTCACCAAAGTTGAGGGGGAAGCAAGGGCAGAATCTTGGGCAATGAAGGGAATGGGGAATTTGGAAAGAGTACAGGACCCGGTGAGGCTGTGATCTGCCCCAGGTCCTTCCTGCCTAAGCACACAAAGATCACTGCTGTGTGATTTACACACCCTCTGCTGAGTTCTAGACTTCTATTTCCATCTTTCCATTGAATATACATACCTGGGTAGCACACAGGTACTACAACTATTTTAAACTTATTAATTTAATTAGATCATTGTGCTGGAAATCTCCAATTGGGAAAGGAACCTGATGAGGGGAAATGCTTTCATTGTAATCTTTTCTTCAAGGCTAAATTGTCAGGTGGAGCTAGCTCCTAGCTCTCATGGCACCTTGTTTATTTCTCTGTTATGTACTTATGACTATTTGTTTACAACTCACTCCTAGCTACCAGATCATGAGTGCCTTTGAAGTCCCAGTCCCTGGCACAGTTTCTAGCTCACAGTATATGCTTAATAAGGACTGCTGAATGAAAACAGATGGCACTGTGTTTACACCACTGATATGGCAGCAGAGACACAGGAAAATGTAATTCTGCAGATTAGAGACAGCTTCCCAACGGAGGTTATGGTGAGACTCACAGGATGAACAGAATTTCAGCAGAAAAAGAATGGGAGTGCGTTCCAAGCAAAGTCAACAGTTCATGGGCAAAGGCAGGAAGACAAAAAGATCAGCATGCATGCACAAAGATCTCACGACCTAATGTGGGCAGAATGTACTGTTTGGTGGGGATGGCAAGAGACAAAGTTCGAAAGGTAGGTATGGACCAGGTACCCTTGCAAAATGGTTACAGAGTTCTGACATAAAATCCAGTGAATATCAACATGGCATTGAAAGTTTTTTTTTTTTTTTTTTAATCCTCAACCGAGGACATTTTTCCATTTTTTGTACAGATAGAGTGGGAGGGAGAGAGAGGAAGGGAGAGAGAGCGAGAAACATCGACGTGAAGGGACACATCGAGTGGCTGCCACCCGCACGATCAACCAGGGCCAGGGACAAACTGCAACCGAAGTACGTGCCCTTAGCGGGAACCGAACCCGGGTCTCTCCGGACCGCAGGCTGACGCTCTAACCGCTGAGCCAAACTGGCCAGGGCGGCATTGAAAGTTTTTAGGCAAGGAAATGATATAACCAACCCAATTCAACTTTCAGTATCACTAAAAGTGGACTGTTTTGTATCTTAACTCTTAGAGGCACTAATGTTTTTAATCTCCCCCTACCTCCAACCCATTAAAAAGAGGTGAGGAAAATACTGTGCCCATTTTTTGGAGGTTGGAGAGTTGGGGAGCTCTGAATGGCTAGATTTTGAAATTTGAGAAAGTCAAGTTATTTTTGTTTCAAGTTCATTCCTCTAACCCCTTAAAAAGAAAATCAGAGCACAGGAAACAATCCTTCATCTGATTAAAAAAAAATTTCGTAGAATGTCACACCTTCATTTCCTGTTCTCTACCTTTGTTTTTGGGTAACTTTTTTGGAGGGAATATAATTTTAAACAGAAAAGTTTTAAGAATAGTACAAGGAATTCTTGTATACTCTTTACCCAGAGTTACCAATTACTGACATTTTTGCCTATTTTTAAAATCATTCTTTCTCTAGTTTTATACATATACCCCCCCAATCATTGAGAGTAAGATGGGTGTTCCCCCTTTAATCCCCAATACTTCAGTGTGTAAGAATATCATTTTCTAACTTAGCTCACACCACAATTATCAAAACCAGGAAATCTAACATTGATATAATACTATTATCTAAATCAGAGTCTATATTAAAATTTTGTCAGTTATCCCAATAATGTCCTTTATCGCTATCTTCTCTTCATTTTTTTTTAGATTGTTAAATTATTTGCATTTTCACCCAAGACAGTTCAATAATCGTTATAGTCTTGTTACATTTTCTTCACTTATACAATACTGCATATTTGATACAGTTTAAAAAGATGGATTAATGAAATACCACAGTAATTGCAAACGAGTTTGAACAGTCTTTAAGTATATCCCATTAGACCTCCACAACCAGACTTTTCTAGATTTACACTGGATCCCCTAGTACTCTATGCTAGGTAAATTGTTTTGCTTCTCGTTTGGTCTCCTCAACTATAAAATGGGGATAATAATAATCCTTAGATGTTAGAAGAATTAAATGAGCCCTGACTAGTTTGGTTCAGCGGTTGAGCATCAGCCCATGGTCCAGAGAGACCTGGGTTTGGTTCCCGCTAAGGGCGTGTACCTCGGTTGCAGTTTGTCCCTGGCCCTGGGTGGGTCGTGCGGGTGGCAACCACTCTATGTGTCCCTTTCACGCCGATGTTTCTCTCTCTCTCTCTCCCTCCCTACTCTATCTGAACAAAAAATGGAAAAATGTCCTCGAGTAAGGATAAGAAAAAAAAAGAACTAAATGAAAGAATATAAGTGCTCAGAATAGTGCTTTGCATATAGTTAGTGCTCAATAATGCTTTTTATATAGGCACAGTTTATGCCAATACATTGTTGGGCTGAAAGGACCCAAATAATATCAGAACTATTGGTGAAACTGACATTAAAACAATAAAATGAGAAAAGTATATATCCAAAGGATCAAATTCCAAGCAACAAAATGGCTACAAAAGTAAAACTAACACTGTACAATTTTAAGAAAACTGCTCAAGCATAGGTCTTGCAATAAAATCAGCTCCAGAGCAACCACTGGCAGTAGAAATATGGCTCCAGTATGAAAACGTTTAAAGATGTAATATTAGAGAACTGGCTGAAAAAGGCCTCACAAAGTTTTATGTTGTAATTCAGTACACACAGTATTAGAGACATTATCATTCAGATGATGGTTCCCTTGCTTAAGGTAAACCATGAGATTTTTAAAATACAGCTTAGGTCAATACTGTCAACCATTTCATAAATTTTCGATATTATAAATGTAGTTAGATTTGAACAGAAAGAGAGAGATGATCCAAGTCGGCCAGAGGACATGACAATCCTAGCACATGTGTAAAAAAATCATCTTATAAAGTAACTCAGCTGGTATTTAAAAAGTACCAGTTTTATTGAGGCAAAAAAAAAAAAAAAATTACAAAAGTATACTGTTTCTATGCTGTTATTACTGGAGTTATTGCTAACTGCCCCAACTCCAACTATGACAAGTCTAAGCTATCCCTCAGTTTACTAACCCAGGGGAATACTGACTGGTTCAACAGAAAGGGCTGTACTAATGTCCTCCAGCTTCTGCAAGCAACGTTTAGCTTCATCTCCAGTGCAACTGTAGCTGAGGCTGGCTTCTGGCAAATTGTTTCTTCATGGAAATATCAAATGAGTGGAAAACTCCAAGTAGCATGACCATCTGCTCTGCTACACAGGCCTTGTGACAAAAGTAATCCATCAAGCCAAAATGTTAAGCACATGGATTTGACTTTGCATTTTAAGTTCTGCCCAGAAAAGGTAAATTCCTCCTCCAGGATTAAAACAAAATTTTTTTGAACATAATATGCTTCTCAACTTGTGAACATTTAAACCACCTCAGGCTAGATGCACTTACTGTTTTTTGTTTTTTTTAATGTGTTCAATATGCTACTGAACAATTCTGGAAGCAAACAAGTACCCCATTTCCAGTTCTACAGTGCCCTGTTGAAGAAGCCTGGAAAAGTGACTTGGCTTTTTGTTTTCTGTTTGTTCTCTCATATATAACATAAGGAAAATATTCAAGATGCTGTTGAACTACTAAATTCCTTTTTATTTAAAAAAAATTTTTTTTTGTCTTTATTGATTCTAGAGAGAGATGAAGGGAGAGGGGGGGAGAGATGGAAACGTCAATGAGAGAGGACATTGGCTGGCCAACTCCTGCATGCCCCACACTGGGGTTTGGACCCACAAATTGGGCATGTGTCTTGACTGGGAATCGAACCGGCGACCTCTTGGTGCATAGGTCAATGCTCAACCACTGAGCCACACTGGCTGGACTAAATTCCTTTTTAAAACTTCTAAATTATAAATTTAGACTACATTTCTTAAAAAAAAAAATACCTTCAGGATTGTCAATGTGGGGGTTCTGACCGGCTATCATACAGGCCTCTACCTTCTATTCCTTCTTCATTTACCATTTATAGGTAGAATTTTACCACATTTTTATAGCTGTGGTGCAACTGTAAAGTAAAACAGGTGAAAATTCGATTTTTGTATCTTGTATATTTCAATGACTTATGCACTCTTTTCATAGATAATCTAGAATTGGTCTTGTTATAATAACTGAGGTTCAGCGCCCCACCAGGAATAGTGGTATTTGTAAAATATGTTTTTTACTGATTTTTTTTTAGGGAGAGAAAGAGAGAAACATCGATGTGGTCAGCTGCCTCCTGCACACCCCCTACTGGGGATTGAGCCTGAAATCTGGGCATGTGCCCTGAACAGGAATCAAACAGGGACCTCTCTGTCCATGAGAGGACACTCATCCACTGAGCCACACCAGCTGGGCAGGAATAGTGGTATTTGTAAGCGTGAGAGAAAGAACAGAAACAAACAATACAAATCAACTGTCAGAACATGTGAAAATAAAGATTTTAAAAAATAACTGAAGGAAAGATATGACTGATGCTATTTGTTCTGCTGCACATAATTCATTTTCCCTCACTATAACTTCTACATCCTAAAAGAAAAATGGAGATCCACTGTCTGACCTCCACCTTCTGTGGTTTTTTGGTCTAAATAACAAGTGATATTGAACTTTAGAGCTTCCATTATTTCACAGGCTTCAGCTTAATAGAT